TGATAGACCGTTAATTACACATGTTTTCACCCCTGTTCTTACACCGTTTGAGATGTGGTTTCTCGTGTTTTAGACCGATTTCACGCTAGGTTGTGCGTGTTTGTGATATTTCATGTCCTGGCAATTGAATGAGGGTTTAGGAGCGAGTTCGGGGTCGATTGGGCGAAGATCGGGCGCGAGGCAAGTCACAATGGAGGTCACACGGGCACACCCACAACTTGCACGGCCGTGCAAGTGGCCAGTCTGGCCGTGTGGGATTGTGCGAGAGCAGACACGGGCAGACCAGAGAATCCACACGGCCGTGTGAAGGAGTGGCCTGGCCGTGCGAGTTTTGCCGAGAGCAAACACGGGCAGATGGAAATCTCACACGGCCGTGTGAGTAGCCTGAAAATCGAACTAATTGGAACGCAGCGTTTGACTCACACGGGCAACTGGGTAAGCCACACGGTCGTGCCACCCTGGCCGTGTGAGTCGGGATTTTCTGCTTTTAAGCAGATTTTTAGCCCCAGTCGAGGGGATTCGATTTTTTGAGTGAGAGAGCGATTCCTAGAGAGAGAAAGCGACGAACAAGAGTCTCCAAGTGCCCTAGATTGATCTTCAACACCATTGGAGGCCAGTTTGAGCTTGGAGAAGTGCCGATCAACATCCAGGAGCAGGAATCCATCCTTCACAGTATGAATTCCGCGTCTGATTCTGCTTTTGCTTTCTTCTCCATGGAGTAGTTCTCCCATTCATCTGGGTATGGAGAACCCTAGATTTGTATGTTAGGTTTGATTGTATGAACCCAAGTACTGATTCTATGATTGATTATATTCGATTGAGGTTTGAATGATTGAATGACTTGAATCCTGATCAAATTCCTGTTGTTTCTGCTTTAACCTAGAATGAGAATATCTGCCTAGGTTAATAGAGTATCCTTGATTGAAGGTAGGGAGTTGGTGACTTTAGTCGAGGAACCAACTCACTATTCTGTACCGAATTTACTCCGGTAGTGGAGGTTTTGTTCTTAGGGCCTCAATCTGTCTACTCCGGTGGAGGTTAGTCGCCCGCTAGAGATTCAGATTGAGAGGGTCTGAAGACCTTTAGTCGAGACTTCAGGCTGTTTAAGAACCTTCCGCAGTATAACTATCATAGAAACTGAACTTGGTAATTACAATCCGGCTTAACTGCAGTCTAGGGGGAACCATATCCGGGTGACCTCTTTAACCTGAATACAACAGTTTACTTGCTTTGTTAGTTTGGTAGTTTAGACCTGCATTCCAGTTTCATTGCTAGATAACAAGAATTCACTGAGTAGTCATCAAATCTAGGACCCGGGTTGATAATTAAACCTAAACCCGCTATACTACGCTTTAGGAAGTGGTTTCACTTGGCCAATTCCTAGGGTGACAGTAGAGTCGAGTCAATGTCATAGAATCATGCACTGATGCTATTTTGAACAATGATTATGATGCTGATTCTGAGTTCGATGATTCTGATAATGAACCTGATGAGCTAACCGTGTCAAAGAGGGCACAAATGCTCGAAGCATTGCCTATGCAGGTGGAAGGTGATGAAAAGGCTAGGTTTCCAAAGAAAATGGTTCCATCTCGGATCCAGCCTCCGGAATTGGAACTAAAACCATTGCCTAGTCACCTTAATATGCATATATGAGGGAAAAATCCACTTTACCTGTGATTGTTTCTGCTACACTGACTGATTCGCAGGAACAGGAGCTCTTGAAGGTCTTACGCCAACACATACAGGCTTTAGGCTGGACAATTGCCGACATCAAAGGCATTAGTCCAACATTTTGTATGCATAAGATCCTTCTAGAGGAGGAGTCAAAGCCCTCAATTCAAGCACAACGGAGACTAAACCGCACATGAAAGAAGTAGTGCATAAGGAGGTAATGAAGCTATTGGATGCAGGTATTATTTACCCTATCTCTGATAGTACTTGGGTTAGTCCCGTGTATGTTGTCCCTAAAAAGGGAGGAATGACAGTAGTGAGAAACGATAAGGATGAGATGATATCTACCCGAACTGTTACGGGCTGGAGAGTGTGTATAGATTATAGGAAGTTGAATGAGGCGACCCCAAAGGATCACTCCCCTCTTCCTTTTATTGATCAAATGCTCGAACGGTTAGCGGGTCATTCTCGCTACTGCTTCCTAGATGGTTACTCTGGTTATTTTCAGATCCCAGTAACACCGGAGGATCAAGAGAAAACTGCTTTTACATGTCCTTTTGGTGTTTTTGCATATCGTAGAATGCCTTTTGGATTATGTAATGCACCAGCAACCTTTCAGCGGTGCATGACTGCCATATTCTCTGACCTGTTAGAATGAAGTCTTGAAGTTTTCATGGATGACTTCTCGACTTTTGGTACTAGCTTTGAACATTGTTTGGCTAACTTGTCTAGAGTTTTGCAGAGATGTGAAGAGACTAATCTAGTCTTGAACTGGGAAAAATGTCACTTCATGGTGACAGAAGGTATAGTGCTTGGTCATCGAATTTCGGCGAGGGGGATAGAATTTGATAAAGCTAAGATTGAAATCATTGAAAAACTTCCCCCTCCCAGCACAATCAAAGGAATTAGAAGTTTTTTAGGTCATGCCGGTTATTACCGGTGATTTATTAAAGACTTCTCAAAGATCACCAAGCCTTTATGTGATTTGTTGGCCAAAGATACTGCGTTTAACTTCTCTGATGAGTGTTTGCAGGCCTTCAATCGACTTAAGAAGGAGTTAACCTCTGCTCCCATTATCACTGCACCCGGCTGGACTTTGCCATTTGAAATTATGTGCGATGCTAGCGACTATGCAGTCGGGGCAGTTTTGGGGCAGAGGAAGGAAGGTAAGTTGCATGCGGTGTACTATGCAAGTAAGCTTCTTAATGATGCACAATTGAACTATTCCACTACTGAAAAAGAACTACTTGCTGTGGTGTTTTCTTTTGATAAATTTCGATCTTATTTGATGGGATCGAAAACAGTTGTGTACACTGACCATGCAGCTATAAGGCACCTTCTTTCAAAGAAGGAGTCCAAGCCGAGATTGCTTCGTTGGGTTCTTCTTTTGCAGGAATTCGACGTTGAAATTCGGGACAAGAAAGGTTCGGCTAATCTGGTAGCTGATCACCTTTCTAGACTTGAGCTTGAGGCCATTCCTAAGGACAAGGTTGAGATCAATGAGTCTTTTCCAGACGAGCAGCTTTATGCTCTCCTTGTCCAACAAGCTCCCTAGTATGCAGACCTTGCGAACTATCTCGCCACAGGTAAGCTCCCTGATTTGTCTTATCAACAGCGCAAGAAGTTGATTACTATTGCCAAGAATTATATATGGGAAGACCCCTTCCTGTATAAGCATTGTGCTGATACCATGGTAAGACGATGTATCCCTGAGTGTGAGGGAAAATCAGTACTAAATTTCTGTCATAGTATGGCCGCAGGAGGTCACTTTGGACTTCATAGGACAGCAGCAAAGGTGTTACAATCTGGATTTTATTGGCCTTCTCTATTTCGAGATGCCCGTGATTTTGTTGCTCAATGTGATAGGTGCCAAAGAACAGGGAACATATCTGCAAGGATGGAGATGCTGCAGACCTCGATTTTGGAGGTAGAGATGTTTGATGTATGGGGAGTGGATTTCATGGGGCCATTCCCACCGTCTTTCAACAACAAATATATCTTAGTCGCAGTTGACTATGTATCCAAGTGGGTGGAGGCAGTGGCGTTGCCCACCAATGACTCAAAGACGGTGGTGAATTTCATGAGGAAGAACGTGTTCACCAGATTCAGAGTCCCTCGAGTTCTCATCAGTGACGAGGGCACACACTTCATGGGAAAGGAGTTGAACACGTTGCTGGCCAGATATGGGGTTAAGCATCGAGTGGCTACACCCTATCAGAGAACTGAAACACATTCTGGAGACGACGGTGAATTCAACAAAGAAAGATTGGGCAAGGAAGTTAGATGATGCACTCTGGGCATACCTGACTGCTTTCAAGACTCCTTTAGGCATGTCTCCGTACAGATTGGTGTTTGGAAAAGCTTGCCACTTGCCCGTCGAGCTCGAGCACAAGGCGTATTGGGATATCAAGAAGCTGAACTTTGATCTAAAAACTTCTGGAGAGAAGCGCCTGTTGCAACTGAATGAGCTCGACGAGATTAGGCTTAATGCCTATGAAAATGCCCGGATTTATAAGGAGAAAACCAAGAAGTGGCACGATCACCAAATATTGCGAAGGGAGTTCAAGGTGGGAGAGAAGGTATTACTTTTCAACTCACGCCTTAAAACTCTTCCCTGTAAAATTGAAGCCAAGGTGGTCCGGACCATTTACGGTGACCAAAGTGTACCCACATGGCGCAATCGAGATTCTTGGTGATCAAGGGGCATTTAAAGTGAATGGTTAGAGGCTCAAGCACTATATTGAAGGGGTTTCCGTCCTGGAAATCTCAACATATCATCTTGAATGATCTATCTTACATCAAGCTAGCGACGAAAAACAAGCGCTTCTTGGGAGGCAACCCAAGGTGAGTTTTTCTTTCAATTTTTTTTTCATTTTTTAGTTTTAGGGTGTGTCTAGAGGCTCTCCGCCAAATTTCAACTCCAAAAGCCTTGAGGAAGGTATTATTTGGTGTTTTGTAGGCACACAGGCAGACTGATTTTTGCACAGGGAGACTGCAAAATTAGCACAAGCAAACCGCAAATGGGGGGAGGACTAATCTGAATAAGGGGAAGAACTGATCTGACATTTTGGAGAAGGAAGGGGGGACTGAAAGGGAGATATTTCATTTCTTTAAAAAAAAGGGGGACGACAGCGTATTTAAAAAAAAAAGCAAAAAAAAAAAACACGGGGTCGGGCTGTTCACCCTTCCCCTTCCCTCCCCTCCTTCCCGTCGAAATCCCCAGCAGAGAAAACAGCCGTCGGTCGCCCTCCACCCAGCAAGCCCCGCACCGCCGGTCTCCCTCGCGCCTCCGCCTTTCGCCGCGCCGGAGCAGCCTCGCCCCACCCGCCTCAGGCCGACGCAAGCAACTCGCAACAGCTCGCGCGACCAGCACCGGCTTTCCGCCTCTCTGCCTCCCGCCGCGCCGTCGTCGGTCCCGCCATAGCCCACCGCTCCACCAAGGCGCCTGCATCCCCGCCTCTCGCACCGCGTCGCAGCGCCCCTTCCTCCCTTCTTTCCTTCCGCGTCGACGCAGCAGCAAGGCGACCAACCAAGCAACTCAACAGACCCCTCGCTGCCGCTGCACTCTTCCGCCGCGCGGCCATCTCCGGCGGTCGTCGCCGGATTCCAGCACCCCCATCCATCATCTCCAAGCCCTATCTCCCTTCCCCCAGGTTGGAATTGCAGAACCTAGGCATTGAGGATTCAAGAAAGAAAAATTAGGGTTCTTCAAATTGGGGATTTTGCCTAATTTCGAATTAAGGTTAAATTGGAGTGTGATGCTTGCTTGATTGAGGCAATTGAAGTACAATTACTGTCTAGAAGGAGATTTGCAGAAGATTTCATGGGTGAATAAGCTGAATTCGACATTGTAGTGTACTTGGTGCTTGAGGATTGGTTGATTTGAGGTTGCAAAATTGAAGATTTTCTGATTGTGGTGGCATTGAGCTGGAATTTGGGAAGAAGAGTACAGAGGTGTGCGATGTTGGTGATTCAAGCAGAGTAAGGCTAAAGAAGTGTTGTGTATTTCCCAGTTTGCACTCTTGGTTGCAGATATGGGACGCCGTAGATATACCCCTCCACCTCGGCAATTCAAAGTCACTTATCAAAGTGAAGATGAGAAGTTCGGCACTTCTTCATCGACCCATCCTTCATAGGAGCTTGTCCCGAGGTTCTTTTCTTTTCTTCTTTTCTTTGTGAATACTTCTGATGATGGTCTGTAATAATGTTAGTTAGGTGAACCTGTTGGTGTGTCGTGTGTAGTTGTAGACATTGTGGACAATGTCCATCCTGAGTGTGGGGTGGATGGTCTGTGTTCTTGTCGTGTTTTATGTCGAGTCTTAGTTGTCCACAGTGTCTCGTCATGTGTATATCGTAAAAAAAATTGCCATTAGGTTGAGCACAGCCAAACTGCATGCAGTTTGCCTGTGTAAAAAGCAGTCTGCCTGTGCAAAGCTAATGGCTAAAAAACACCTAAAAATCAAAATCCAAAAACCTTGTACTCTTGCTCGGTCACCGGTAGTAAGAAACAAATCCCACTTGTACTAAATACGACCTCTCGGCAAGCAAAAGTAGAAAGAGAGAAAGCCTCTCCTTGTCATAAAAGGTAGTGATGTGCTTAAAGTTAAAATCATGTTTGCGAAAGGCTTCCCCCATTAGTTTTTGAGACTCATGCTTAATTAATTGCTTATGATTGGTGTGAGTAAGCCAGACTGTCCTCACGAGATATGCACCTCACTGATGTGGTTAGATTCTCCTAATAATTGATGCACCATAAGTTGTTAACTACCCACTACTGACCTTGAGTGTGGGGTTGTCCTCACGAGATATGCACCTACTGATCTGAGTAGGTGCTATTTGAGTTTTTGGATGGATTTGAGTCAGTCAATGGTTAAGGGTTGCAAAGACCTTGAGTGTGAAAGGTATGACCATTAGAGCACAACTTATCCGTTGAGAAAGAAACTACTGATTACAACAAGAGTACAAGGAAATTTTGTGTTTTGCTTTGAGTGTTTGATTAGTGAGTCTGTGGTGTGTCATTGTTTTGGATGGTTATGTGTTTGTGTCTTTTGAGTCGTTGCTTAGGGACAAGCAACAATTGAGTGTGGGGTTGTGATATTCGGCTTTAATATATCGGATTCTTGGACTTTATGTGATTATCTAATGGTATGTTTTAGTCAATTGGTGCTATTTTAGGGCTCGCTAACCCGAGAATGGTTGAAAACCCATTACTGCCTAGTGCCATGAGTTTGATATGATATAGGTGGAGAAAGCACGAAAAAGGAGCGAGTGCATAAGCAATAAATCAGGCTCGAATTACTGGTGGACTACTCACTTGGGATCAAGGGCCAGAGGAATTGGACTTGGAAGTGGGCCAGAGCCCATTCGACTATTCTCAATTCTTGGGGCGGCGGAAAAAAACAAAAGGAAGGCAGCAATTAAATTGGACCGGGAGAAGTGCTTTTGGAAAAGGGATTTTGGAGATTGGGCCAGGGTTTCTTGGACATGGATTTGGCGGCTGGACTGAAAATTAAAAGGGGAGAAGAATTGGACACAGGGGAAAGGGACAAAGTCAGGGAGCTTGGCAATTAATTGGGGCGAACAAGAAAAGAAGGGGGGAACTTGATTTTTGGGCGAAAAACTCTTTGGAGAAGCGAAGGGAGCGGCGCAGCACAAACTCTTGGGACGAGCAATTTCTCATCGAGCAGCAATTGGCGATCAGTTTTCCAGGCGGCTTGAGCTGAGTTCAACGAGAGTGATTAGTTGGTTGGATTCTCTGAACCGAACTAGTTGTGTATTGTTGATTTAGAACATGATGATCAAAACTCTATTGTTTTATCTCAATTTCTTCATGAACTAAACCTCAATTTCTGGGGGAAACACCATAGGATGTAGCTATTTCTTGATTTGATGGAATTGATTCATGACTCTTTTCTTCCAATCTCTATTGCATGAAATTGCTTAATGCTTTGTGTTGACTGGCCACCAATACATTGATTTGTTGTTAATTAGGTGATTAGCGACAGTGAAACCCTATTAACCGAACATATTTCATGTGGCATAGTAACTTATCGAAGCGACAGTGGATTAAATAAGGTGATATGCGGTCTTAAATAGGATATCGTTCTTCAGGCTAAATAGTTAATTCTTTGAGCTACGACAGTAGGATTTGAATTAATTGTTTAGTACGTAGTAATTCCCGACAGGGATAGCTAGCACATTCGTGATATCCTGGCTGTAGAGAGTTGGATTAAACTGATTAGAATATGTGAATTAATCTGGATAGGATAGGTAGTGAATCCCGGTGTTTCTCCCAGAGCTTTCTCCATTGAATTTCTCCCGACCATTTTACTTTGCTTAATTAGTTTATTTTGCTTTTAGATAATTAATCTCATTAAACCATTTTCACCTATAGTTTTCTCTACAAAATTGATAGAACTTAAGGTTGTACTAGTCCCTGAGAGACGATACCCGGACTTTCCGGTTTACTACGAGATAGGATTAAGGCATACGCTTTTGCAAGGGATATTACCAAGTATACCAGGAAATATGATAAAAAATAATCAAATAATAACGAAACCCATCAATGGAGGAGACCGGAGCTGGTCCCCAAACATCCGTATACAATAAATAAAATGGTCTAGTGCTTGATAAAGAAGACACGACAAAAGGAAGGTTGTGACTTTTATTGGAAAGACAAGAATGACAATGACTACTGACGAGAAAGGACGATACTGGCAAAGAATGTGAACGAAGAAGACTGGTGAGAGATTGAGCGGACGGATGACCAAGACGCGCATGCCAGGAGGTGGAAGTGGTACCAGTGGAGACAAGGGCCAGATGAACATTTTCCACATCACTAGGCAGCTCATAGACATACCCATTATTTGCCCCTTTCAGAAATGGCACCCCCGTGCGAAGGTCCTTAACACCGAAATGGTATTAGTGCGACAAAGCTTGGCAACAGAAATAAGTGTACGCTTGATGGCAGGTGCACATAAAACATCTTGTAATTGAAAATATGACGTGGAGGAATGCAGTTTAGTAGACCCAATATGTGTAATTTTCAAACCTGATCCATCGCCCACCAGAATCTCATCTGGTCCATTGTAATCGGAATAGAGGGATAAGTGGCCTAAATAAGAGGTGACATGGTGAGATGCCGCAGAATCAGTAACCATGGACCGGTGGAATTATCACGAACAACAACTGTATGATGAGCCTGAGATTGATGAGCCTGATACGTCAGACGAGCCTGAGGGAAAAGTTTAAAACATTGGCGTACGGAGTGGCCTGGACGCTCACAGAATTGGCATATAACAGGCTGCCTGCGTGTGGGAGAAGAGACAGCATATGGAGGCCATTGTAATCAGGTTGCTGAAGTGGACTTTGGGCTCGCTGGAGATCGGCCCATGAAGAAGAGGCCATGTGGGAAGGGCTGGAAAAACGGAGCGGGATGGAGGACCCTCGTTGGGAGCGAGATGAAGAGCCACCAACGCAGCCACCAACACCGTTGCTCTGTCGCTGCCCCTACGAAAAGAAAACAGTCGGAACTGAGGTCTTCAGTTGTGCCTTCAGATCCTATTCGTACTCAACAAGGGAGTCCACCATATCCTCCAGTGTTAGACCAGGTCCACGAGCTCGGATTGCTGCAGAGAAGGCGATGTATTCTTCTCCCAAACCACGGAGACAGAACACAACAAGATCAATATCAGAGACTGGGGCGCCGATGAGTGCTAGCTCTGCCGCAATGCTTTTTAGATCGTTCACAAATGTCAGAACATCATGATCGCCTTTTGTGGTTTTTGCTAATTTCCCTTTCAAGTGGATCACACGAGACTGAGCATTTCTATCATAAAGCTTCTCAAGAATCAACCAAGCAGAGCGGGATGTGGACGCTATTGGGCCGAGTTGATGCTCTGCAGCCCACGTCGTCTACGAGTCCTGCAGCCCATGCAACCCATGCTGTTCACGTGGTCTCCAAGTCTCAATTGGAGCCACTTTGTCATTCACTTGTAACCCTAGGTGATCGTGAGTTAGGGTATTTAAGGACCTGTAAGGCTTTATGCCGCCATCATCAATAATATCAGAAGTAGCTTTCACGTGGACGTAAGCCTCACCAAGGGTGAGGAAGAACCACGTTAATCGTGTCCCTTTTACCTTTCCTGTAATTTTCTCATGGTATCATAGCAAAGGTCCTAAGTTAATCTATATCAACGTTCAGTCATGGTTACCGGCGACACCACCGACGTCAAGAGTCAGCCTCAAGATGGAACCACCAGTTCGGCCCCTGAACTCCCACCGGTGTATCAGCTAAGCAACTCGGATGGCCCAGGGAATATGCTGGTCGGGGAGGTTTTGACATCTTCCAATTACGGTGAGTGGGTCCTAGATATGAAGGACGCTCTTCTGGCAAAGAACAAGTTCGGATTTGTTGATGGCACTTTAGTCAAGCCGACTAATCCCGTTGAAAGGGATGCTTGGATTCGCTGTGACGCAATGGTAAAGGGGTGGTTGAAAACTTTGATGGATAAGGAGATTCGGAGTAGCATCAGGTTTGCCGAAAACGCTCGAGAGATTTGGTCCGATCTACATGAGCGTTTTG